ATATCCTAGATGACTTTGTATTTCTTCTATCATATCGGTAAAGAAGTCACTCTATTTCCTTACTACACATTCAGTACGGTGCCCGGTTGTTTCGAGACATTGCCAGTTCGAGACAGGTTGTTTCGAGACACATCGTATGGACGGTTCGAGACATGTCTATGGTCACTTCGAGACGTATATAAAAATAATATATAAGTGTTATATAACATAAAGTAATGAAGGGCAAAAGGCTTTGGAACATAGTAGAATCAGAACATAGCAAGAATAAGGAGTAGATTGAAAGAACTGGATGGTATTGGAAGAACAGTGCGAAGGCGATATGCCATTATAAGACGAACATATGATGTGCCTGGGGCAAATTATTTATGGCATATTGACACCAATCACAAGTTGATTTCCTGGAGATTTGTTATCCATGGCTGTATTGATGGGTTCAGTAGAACTGTTATACACCTCACTTGTTGTAACAATAACAAAGCAGCCACTGCTTTGCATTATTTTGAGAAAGGTGTTCATGAGTATGGACTCCCTCTGCGTGTACGTGGAGACCAAGGCATGGAGAATATTGAAGTTGCCAGGTATATGGTTAATAACCGAGGATCTGACAGAGGAAGCTTTATTGCAGGGCGCAGTGTTCATAACCAAAGAATAGAACGTCTATGGGCAGAGGTTAACAGAGTATCTTCTGCATTCTACAAGGATCTCTTTGAGTATATGGAGGCTAATGATATACTTAACTCCCTCAATGAAGTAGACCTGTTTGCATTGCATTATGTTTATCTCCCAAGGATAAATGCCTCACTGAATGAATATCAAAGTCAATGGAACTACCATGGAATGAGGACATGTGGTCATCAGTCACCACTATGCTTATGGAACATGTCATTGTTAGACACACCTGACGATGCATCAGTCCTTAATTTAGACACCTATGGTGTTGACCCTGATGGTCCACTCCCAGATGTCATCACTGATAACAATGTTGTTGTTCCAGAATTTACATTTGAACTCACAGACATTGAAAATGAACAGTTAAGACAAAGTGTGGATCCTCTATCTGATGATGGAAACTGTGGTATCAATCATTTTTTGCATGTTCTGAGAATTATAGAAAGCTTTCATTAGTACAATGCAGGTGCCAGAGTACATTTTACAAACTATTGCAATCTTTGTTGCTGTTATTGATGAACATACTTACCAAATGAAACTGATGAAGTGTTGTTGGGAAAGCAATATTTTTTGCTAAACAATGGAAAAGCTTAATTATCTGTTATCTTGAAAACAAACCATTATGCACATTTCACTGATCTTCAACTTGGCTACTATTATAATAATTATTATTAAAAAATCAACATAAAACTGTTCTTAAAGTTTGCTTTAATAATAGGTCAGTATTTAATTAGCAAAAAACACCCAAACCTTTTGAAATCATTTGTTTAAATCATCACAACTGTATTTTACAAAGGGCTTACAGTACATGTGTCTAACTAGTTGGTCATACAAATGTTATTTTTGGTGATATTAAAGAAAATAGTCATTTTTAACTCGGAGATTGCGTAAGCAATCGTAGAGTTATTGTAGGGGGACAAGCTGTCACTCGCTCGCTTTCCTGTAAACTCGAGCCTGCAATGCTTTTAGCAGTCAGCGGTTGCTCACTTAATCACATTAATGTATTCAATGTACTTCCACTAATTGGTCTCCCTGTGCTTTTTAATTAATCATTATTTATAATATTTAGATATTCATTTAATCATATTAATGTATTCACTTAAATTCCTTAGAGTGCCAATGTTTACATGATTCATTTTGTGCTATAATATGTATGATACATATTAAGAAAAGAGCTTATTAAATTGTACATGGAAGTAAGGAGAGAAGAGACTATAATCAAGTACACCAAAATTTCAAAATATTTTTATTTAGGTATATAGTTTTTGTCTATATTTATAAATTTTGAATTTGCAACAGTAATCAAATTTATCAAGATAATCACAATTAACAAACAAGTAACAGTAACAAGATTCTAACAAGAACTTTCTGCCTAATAGAACAGTTAATAACAACATATTTTATCACTAATATGCACCGATTGGGGGATGTTAAGTACATTGATCCCATGAACATTCCATATATCCGACTGAAATATCAGGCTAGACTTGATCTTCCAATATTTTGCATATCATAGATACCAGTAATAAAAACATGTTTATTTTAACATGAAAAATAAATATAAACATCAACAAATAATAATGAATCATCAATGAAACATTTGTCTTTGTAGTGACCTGTATTATTAACATAAATGGCCATAACTCTATACAACTTACACCTTCTTGCAAAACATTTAAAAAATTGATGATTAGGAACTGTTTAAGTGTATAACAGAAAGATAACTTCAAAACCTTAAAACAATGAACGAATTCCTGCTAAATATTTCTTCTTGCAATGCTGTATATATAACATTGCATATTACAGTGCGGCTATTGAAACCGGGGCCACTTAGATAAATCGGATAACTAACCAATCATATTGCAGCTTTCAGTTCAAGCTTCTAATTAGCGTGAGAACACTTCAAATTCATTGGTCAATGCTATATGTTTTTCTGGTTTTATTGTACTTTTGCTGTCTTCTGATTGGCTGGCTTTAATCAAGTGGCCCCGGTTTTGATAGCCGCACTGTAACACAATAACATATAATAATGTATAATGCTTTTGCTTTTCAAAAACAGGCAAGTGCATTGTTGTTTTAGTCAATGTTTATGTGAAACTTAAAACAATATTCACATATAAATGATAGTCCCTATGCAATGTCAAAAGCCCAAGCCTGGTCATCCTTCATTACATTTGTAAACTCTTCCACAAGTTCTGGATATGACTCATAAGTGCATGGAATTTCTAGTAAGGGGCCACATGTATGGACCACAGGGTGACGTCCAAATCCAGACATATCAGTGAAAGTGATATCAATACCTTCACAAGAAATCACATTGCTTCCAGTGCAAAAATGTAAAAATCGTTGAAGTGGCTTGGCTTCCAGGCTTTTAATAAACCTCTTGAGGTGTGCAAGGGTTTGTCTCTCAGCTTCATTTTTTGGATCTACCTTTAAAAGGCTGATTATTTTCTTTGGTGTTGCTTCTTTTGCTTTATATAGCCCATCAATGGCTTCCACTGTTGTAAAGCTGACATCTTGCTTTAGCTGTGCTAGAATTGGAGCCCAACTGCTGAGAATGTATCTTGGTTTTTGCACCAATTCCTGATGAGCAATCTCACTGATGATGGTCTTAATGGTTTCTTTTGTTGGCATTTTAAAGCACTTGAAGGTACCCAGGAAGTCAAGTACTTCATCAGACTGTGGATCAAACTCCTCGCTTAAGCACATTATTGTCAAGGACCTCTTGATCGGCAGAGGGAATATAATCCTTGAAGGAGGACAGGAGAAACTCTGGAGTTATGGCATCCTCACCAAAGAGACATGTACACAAAAACAGCTTTGACAGTGCTAATGGAAAATAGGAAAGCTTATTGTAACCATACACAAGAACTCTTGCTACTGACTGCCATTGTGGACTCTGGAGGTCATGTCTTATGTAGGGAATTTTTTCTTTGCCACCAACTGCTAGACCTAAAAAGAAATCCTGCCAGAACTGTGTTAAGACATCTAGAATAACTCCCTTGCCTATTCCCTTTTCTGCTCTCCCTGCTGCATCCATAACAGTCACACAAAGATGACAACGTAATATGGCTGGATCACTGAAAACCTCAAGGACATCCTTTCGAATATTAGATCTGAATATCACAACTTCTTTCACAGTCATGTCCATTGTGTCATCATCTGCAGATATATCTACAAAGTCTGGTACATCCTGACTGTAGTCTGGAGTAGCTTGGGTGACATGATGTGGTGTGTTAGTAGCAGTTGATGTACTGGCTAGGGTAGACTGGCTGGTGGCAGCTGATGTACTGGCTAGGGTAGACTGGCTGGTGGCAGTTGATGTACTGGCTAGGGTAGACTGGCTGGTTGCAGTTGATGTACTGGCTAGGGTAGACTGGCTGGTTGCAGTTGATGTACTGGCTAGGGTAGACTGGCTGGTTGCAGTTGATGTACTGGCTAGGGTAGACTGGCTGGTTGCAGTTGATGTANGCCATTATCAGTTTATGATCGAAATACAGGCAATTTCATATCTGACTTGAGATCCAAAAAATCTGCCATTTTCATTCTACTTTTTCAATGCCGAAAAAGTGTATCAGACCATCAACATTTCACTTTGTCTTAGTAATTCATGTATAAATCATGTGCCATGTTTTGGTAAAGATTACTGTGGAGAGTTGACATCCATGTAATGTCCAGCATTYTGATAAAAGTCAGATTAATATGCAATAAATATATGATTCCATCATTAGGATTATGAACATATACTTTCTCTCTCTCTGTTGCTGTTTGCATATATCTGGCCAGAACTTTGGCTGGAATACAGATCTCAACTTCATCAACATTCCTTTAGCAATAGCATACAATAGAACTACTCTACTGACTTACTTTGAAAAGTTACAGCAGCACCAACTGAACGAAACTCAAGAAATCCAAACTCACGGGCAACTTTAACACCATAATAAATATTAATGGGGGCAAAAAGAACAACTGCTACTATTCGGGCCTGAAAATGATTTCGAGTGAAATCTTATTAATATTTAAATGTYCAAATCTATCGTCATATAATATTTTTGTTAAGAATACATGTAATGTAACTGATGAAGTCAACTTCTAATAATTTATCATACCAGAAACCTATAAGGGACTTGATCACCTCCCCCTCTACCCCTCTAAGATCTTCGTTTTAACTCTCATGATCATAAAATTAAAGACTTTTGATGCAAGAGTTGAAGTTTTTTAGCTTGCTTAAATCTCTCTCTGTCAGCCTCAAACAACTAATAGACCACTATAAACCCTGTTTTATCTCGGCTACGTCCATGGGAATTTGATCGCATTCAGTCAGCCTGGAGTTAGTCATTTTATTGCACCAAACAGGMAAAACCTCGCAAAATAACACAGACAAAGTGTGAAATCGATGTCAAATAAYTCCAGTTGAATTCCAATTCTAAAAGAATTATTAATTCCAACGTTAGACTACTAACGATGTAATAAGATCAGTTTCAAAATGCCTTAGAAAAAAAATTATGCTGGGGTATAGTCTGTTTAAGAGGACGCAAATTACTGTTAGGACAATGCTCAGCCTCATGACATTTAAAATAATTATATATATTTGACTTCAGCTGAGACAGTTGTATTATCAACAAAGTCCTTTTCTTGTGTATTAGAGCGACTGAACAAAAAAAGTTTTGTTATGCATGTGTTTGTTTGCATAATGCGTGTACAATCGCAAAAATGTTTAGTGCACTGTTCTGATTTAGAGCAACATACTGTACTTTCTTAATGTATCTCTGTAGTTGCTTTGAAAAATAGATATGATTAATAATGCAATAGCCTTTTTTAAACTTTAAAGACAATTTCCTAACTCGCTTCCTAACTCGCTTCCTAACTCGCCTAATAGTTTATCTCACCAGATAGGGCCTTATATCTCTTATCCAACTGTGGAATGTTCTAAATACATGTATGGTTATAACATTCATTTTCGAATTTTTAATGAGCTTTGAATATTCAGATGCTTGGTACTAAAGAAATGTATGGGCGCTACACCTTTCAAGTCCTTCATAGGTTACTGATCATACCTAATAAAAATATAATTATTTAACAAATAGATCTCATTTTTCMRTGMGTGTGTACTCTAATAGATACACAGATGACGTCAAAATGTAGTGAGAACAAAAAAGTACGCACGAGACGCAGTCGAGTGCGTGACTGTTGTTCTCACTACATTTTGACGTCATCTGTGTATCTATTAGAGTACACGCGCACGGAAAAATGAGATCTATCTGTTTTATACAACAAACAATTAGTTTTGACGTAATCCGTGTATCTATACTTTGATAACACACGAAAGCCAACCAATCAAAACGTCTGATTTTACTGAAAAGTTGTATAATGTTGACTAGACTTTTTTTTTTTCTTTTAAAAAACATAATACTAAGAAAGATAAGGAAAGAAAAATGCGGTTTTGCTGTAATTAATGAGACTTAAGAAGAAAATCAAGTGTGATGAATCTATTTCTTTGTTTGTGCCCACATTTTGGACTTACTTCAAACTTYGCAAATAGTTKATCAGGATAAAATGAAGAAATGGAAACAATAGTCTGATGTCTTAGAAAATATTGTTTTGCAGTCTTGCTWCAATTGATTTAATTWTTGTATGTTTGACTTGATGCATTTGTATGCAAATTCTCATKWACAGCACATTCTCATGCACAAAACATTACAACATTCTCSCCACTTTGATGGATCCTGGGGAAGGTCATCACTTAAACACGTATATTTCAATTACTGTTTATAACGAAAACAACAAAATAATGATATAGTTCAGGAATAATTATAATGTATTAAATGATTATTGACTCAATGTTCTATAATAAATATACAGTATACGTTGATTAGTGTTCAAATGCTCTTTATGTGT